GCACTCGTCAGCGCGGGCTCCGCCGCGAGCCGCTTCCCTTCCCGTTCCTGGCAGCTTCGTCCTTCCTGGAGCCGCGGCTTGGCGGGTTGTGGGGTGGCTTAACGCAAACGGCTGCGGCAGAGGCGGCGGGCAGAAAGCGGGCGGGTGAGGGAAGCACTTCTCTTTGTGCGGGCTATGGGGTTGCCGATGAGCTCTCGCTACCCTATGAGAGCCTGGGAAGAAGCCGCTAGGGTTGGGTGAGAATAATACGATTTGAGGAAAATAGACGTTCTTTTCTTTCCTTTTTCTCGTTTTCCTTCTCTCTAGGCTGCAGCCCTGGCACTGCTCTTCAGGTAAAGGTCTCTGTAATTGTAACAAGGGGTTACAAAATAGTAATTAAAAAGAGAGAGAGAGCGAGAGAGTCTTACCCCTATGTTCAAAATTTCAGCTTGCTTTCTGTCTTTCCTGAAACTTCCATATATTTGTGAAGCCATCGTGGTAAAAGCCAAGTGGAACTCATGGGAATAGTTAGAAAGCAACATAGGGAGGGTTTGTGGGATGGGGTATGGTGGCAGCAAGGCGGCACTTGCAGTGCTCTGCTTGTTTTTTATTTTCTTATTTTAAATTTTTCCCCTATAGTAGCAAGAAATTCTAAATGTTTGTTCCAGAGCATCCTGAAAAAACACACGTTGACTGAGGGAAGGTTTTTGGAGAACTGAGCCAAGGGCACCGGTGCTCCTCCAATCCCTAGCCACAAGGTGCTTCGGCAAATCACAAGCATTTTTGTTTGCTAAACAGATGTCTTTGAGCTGCGAAGAGTTGCATTGAAATAAGGCAATAAAGTTGTGGTCCTGTGGTTTCCATTGCTGCAAACAGCCAGCAGGAGAAGATTTTATTTGTTTGTTTGTTTATTTATTTATTTGTAGTGAGTAGTAGAGGGAGAGCACTCCTAGTACACCTTATTGCATGGCTGCTTGTGAGGCAGATCTCTTCCAGCAGCTTGGTGTTCCAGGCAAGCTCTGGCCTTGGTCTCCTGATGGCACGTTCCCCAGAAATCTTTGTTTCTGTCACCACCTTCCTGAAAGCCATGTATGCAGGGTTTTGAGCAAATTAAATTATTAAATGAACCAGAGTTTGAACAAGTTCCCCCACTGCACCCTCAGTACAGGCATGCAGTAATGCAAAATGTTTCACATTCTTATTTAACTGATATTTCAAAACAATAGGGTGTCTTGGTTACAAAATAATGATTTCACCCTGTGAAAATTCTCCTCAGAAATGAATCTCTACATGAGAGTATTTAGTATACTGCTTCGTAACATTGATTGCTGCTATAATTATTTATGGAAAATCAAAGATACTAAAGCAAATCAGATGTCAAGTACTGGTTTTTAAAAAGAAAACTTCTATGCCATTTCAGTGTGGGAAGCATGGAAGAAAGTGTGGGGAATATGATTAAATCTCCTAACTCTCTTACAAACAGTTGTTTATAGGTGGCAGAATCAAACTCCTGCTCTTCATTGTAATAGGAGGAATGCTCTAAAATAACAGCTTTCACAAGCCAGCCCGTTAGAGTTTGTGTGTTGCGCTATGGACTGCAGAAGAGATTCCAGAAAGATTCAGCCTGGTTAAGCCAAAACCGCAGAAGAGCAACATTGTAGAAATAAGGGCTGAGCAGCTAAGCAAACTAGAGGAAAAACACATTTCAGACTCCTGTTACTGTTGCTTAGTACTTGCAATCTGGAAAACAACATTCCTTTTGGGGAACTACAAGTCCCAAAGTGCACTGTGGGAAGAGTATGCCTTGTACCAGCTTGTGCCCAGCACATATTCCCAAATATGGATAAGGATTCAATTTTGAAAAAGACTTAACAGTCACTGAATACTCTCCACTGAGAATCAGGAGTGAGACAGCATGAAATGAGGGAACAGTCAATGAATACTCTCCACTAAGAATCAGAATAGGAGTGAACCAGCATGAAACGAGGTAAGTTTGTAATGTGCGAAGATACTCAACAATGTCTTTTGAGGACAGCAGGCAGGAATATTCTGTCCCCTGGAAGGACGGTATAGTGGTGATGCTGGAATTGTTTGCTGTGATGATAATGGTGATTTTTGAAATAAGAGGATTGTTGTTTCAGGTGGGGAAGTAAGCAACAGGAGCAGCTGTGCTGCAAAGTGAGTCAGATCCTGTTTATTGCTGGTGCTCTTTATTAATAAAGAACCACAGAAAGATGTGAGCTGCAGCAATAATGCAGTCGTGTAAAGAAAAGGTAAGGAAAAGGTGGGGAGAGCGGGAGCTGTTCTGAACAGGAGATCTGCATGAGCTGCAGTCTGGGTGTTTAAGAAGCTGAGATGGAACAAGTAGTCTTATAATAACAACTATGGGTAAAATTAATTTCTCTGTAGAGCGCGGTAGTGTGTTTTTGTACTTCATTGCATTTCCTAGAGGGGACAGTGTGGTGCCTGAAACGCCAAGGCTCTTGCTGTTGTCTAACCTGCAAATAATAGTAACTCAGTTAAACAGTTGTTTAAGGTCAGGTTAGGGACAATTGCGCTTTTTTTTTTTTTTTTTTGTCAATTTTTTATTAAGAAGCAAAATGAAAACAAAATGAAAATCATCTGAGGTCAAATAGAATTGTCATAGAGGAGGCCAGAGAAAATCTAATGCCAAGTTCTGATCTGCAAAGTCTTAGCAGCCAAATTTGACCGAAGCTCCTGCTTCCTTCGCTCACCCCTGCAGTAAAACATCTCTCACACATCTAATATGCATCTGAGACATGGCCACGCACTGATGCCAAGCACAGCTGGTCAGCCTGATTTGTCATCCTAACAACCTACTCCTACTATGTAGGGTCATGGAGCAGGAGGGCAGGCATGGCACAGCTCTGCAAACGTGGGAGATACAGTCCAGCTGTGGAGAGAAGTCTGAAGTAGTTTGGGCTGGTGAACTAAACTGTCATGTGGATATTAATTGCAGGATAAGAATGATGCTATTTTTCCATCTTTCCTTAAATGTAAACAGTATCAGCTGTTTTTAAACCTGGAAGAGTTGCTCTTGTCTGTGCCTAGAGCCAACATAGCAGGGCTATACTGCTATAAATATATTAAAGGAAATCAGTGTATCTGGCTGTGCTTCTGCTTCCCGGATAGCAGTTTCTAGTAATGAGAAAAGGTAACTTCAAGAACTCTCAGGAAGAGGCACTAAGAAGGAGCATCACAATACCTTTGTGTTGTGGGTGGGATGTCAATGCTTGGCTCCTTGCCTCTTATCTGAAATCTAGAGTATTTTTTCATTGTTGTCATCTTGATTTTCTATAGGAAAACAAATGAAGTGAGTTGCAGAGGGACCTTTCTTTGTGTCTTCACCTGTGAAGACACAAAAATGTCAAAAATGCTGTGAAATTGCATTCTCCTCCTCCCGCTCCTGTGAAGCAGTTCAAGGAGAGTTAAGAGATACAGGCACCTGTAACAGGGCCTCCTGAGGTAAATCGCCTCAAGTATTAATCCAGATCTGACCAGCATGCGGTCACAGGGCCAGAGAGCCGGCAATCAGTCTTTTCTGCAGTCTCTTCTGTGTCAGTAGGCTGTTAATATGAGATTAGCAGCATTAGGGAGACTTTGAGCTAGAAACAGTAAGGCTCTATGGTCTGACTTGAAGAGAAAGAAACCCAGTTACACCCCACCAAAAAAAAAAAAAAAAAAACAAAAAATCTGAATATATAAAAGGCATTATAAACACAGCTGAACAAAGTATAGTCTGCAGGAAAGCTGTGGAGTTTTATAATACATCATAGCTTACAAGCAACTTCATTTTTAATAAAGCAATTAGGTCCACAGAGACTGCAGGTCTCAACGTGCAGCACTCCCTCCTCATCCCCATGTGCTTTTGTTTGGGTCTAGCTAGACCATTACATGCTGGAACCTGCAATTTGCTTGTATTTCCCATGAGCAATGGATCCCTATTAAATATGAAGATAGCTGGCTTCAGTTCCCTTCAATTAACCCAAATTCAGTGTTCCCTCTGGCTTTTGGCAGGTGATCATTAGAGCCCTCGTTTGTGTGAAGGTGAACACATTCTGGTTATGTATCTAACAGATGGACAAGTCTAAAGTCTTTCTTCTTTTACTTAGAACCAGAATTTCACAATAATTATTTTACTTAGAATCAAAAAATATTATTTTTAAAATAGGAAGGAGTGCCTCACCACATTTTGGCATCACCTGCTGATGTCCTAGTTAGTGTTTTTTTAAAGTAGTTACCTCAACTCTGGCTGCACAAAAACTCGTATGAACAACAGACAAGGATAGTAGAGAGAAGACAGTAAAGATGATTAAAGGGTAGTCACAGTCCAACTAGGTGGGGATGTATCATGTGATGTTAAAGTCTGAGCAAATCCCTGTTTTAGCCTTTATTTTAAAAACATACTGTGTAAGGTGCAAACACTGGAAACCGGAAAATTGTAAACACAGGTACTTTGATAGCTTGTAGAGGTGTAATTTTTGCTTAAATAATAGCAAAAACTTTTAGAAAAGAAGGGTGATTTTAAGCTGGCCATGCCATATCCTTTGCTCCATATCAAACAAAATACCAAAACACCAAACCCAGCAACCCAGCATTCAAAGAAAAAAACGTTGTTACTTTTTATTTAATTGTTACCATTATAATAGTAATAATTAGTGCTGGGTGGGGCCTTTCATAGCTTTGAGGTGACCAATTTGTTTAAAGGCCTAAGGCAGCAGCTTTTCTGCAACCAGTTATTATATGTGAGGAAAATACTAAAAGCTGTCATCACCCTAAGTCAATTAAATCTTTGTCTAGCACTGCATCTCTTTACTGATTCAGAGTTACTTCCCCTTCTAATTGCTAATATCTTTTCTTAAAGCCCCACCTGCTGAAATCTGTTTTTGCCTAATACTCACTATATTTCGTCTTTTTCAAAAGTGAACATCATGTTCCCATAGTTGGATGAAATGTTTGACAATGTGAATGTACTGCTGCAATAAAGCAAATGAGAAGGGAAAAAAAAAAGAATTTTCTCAAAACACATTATTTTTACCTGGCCTTGCTGTCTTTTTGGTACTTCTTGCCTCAGCATCTGACAAAAGTCTGTCCCACATGTTGATTTCAAGCTTAGCACAATATTCTATTAATTATAACTGCAAGCATCCAAATGCCTCATGTTCTGCATTTCGAACTAGGAATTACAGAAAGCGTTACGTGAACTAAAAAGCCAACTCTTCCGTCTGCCAGGCTGCTCTCCTGGTCCTTATTTGACTTGGTCTTGTGATGCTCATAAAAGTTTTAACGCGGGGCTGTGCAGTAAAGCCAGCAGTGCTGGGCTGTTGCCAGGTAACGGTGCCTACTGCTCCGGAGAGGATCAGCAGGGAAGGGATTGCGCCTGGGGCAGCCTCCCGGCCTCCTGTTCCGCTGGCTTAAACATATCACTCTGCCGGCTCCGCACGAGGACTGCAGCGGGCAGAACCTCACCGCC